TGCCTCCCCTCAAAAAAGGAGTCAGGGCGAAGTAAAGTGGAGACCATGTTCTTCGTTTCAAACTTGATTTTTGATAAGGGAATTCTCATACCATGAGGTAGGACAAATGGGTTGGACGAGCAAGACATCTATCATTCCTAATCCGAACCTGCCCTTTTTGAGGGAATCCCCACACCATATGAATTCTCGAACATTTGACATTGAAGCAACAATTTTTAATCAATTTGGGACAATTTAAATTCGTTAATTTTAACTTATTTTTTTAAAAAGGTACATTTTTACTTACTTTCCAAATATGTAACTCCTTAGTACAGTTAAATATCATATTAACATAAATGTTTCTATAAAACATATTTTTATTAGTAGGAATAAAAACATTTTTTCATGGATTACAATGTTTATGAGAAGAAAAAGGGAAAGTTAAAGACAGTCGTAATGATAATGCTTAATTAGGGAACGGAAAATTCGAGCAAATTCCCAAAAAGTTGAGACAAAACTACAAACCAGCCGACCACTTTCTCAAATGCTATCACGGATTCCTAAGTCGTGTTTGGCAGAACATTAATCTGCTTTTTATTTTTTGACGTAATCATCAAAGCAGTTTCAGCTAAAAGAGACACAGTTGTCACAAATCACTTTTATTTATTTATTTTTCCAAATTAAAAATTGAGAAAAAATGGAATCGAAAAATAATCGGGATTATATGTTACCTATATCACCTTTTAATTAGAAAAGAAACAATCGCGTTTAAATGTTACATACATCACATTTGGATCATCTTCTATATTTGGGACTCTTTGATCTCCGCCCTCAATTTCATTCGTAAAAAAATTGTTAAAAAAAAAGTCACTTATTGCGCTAGTTAGTGTTTATAGAAGCAAAATAAGTAGCGTCCCATTCTCCCACGGTTGACCTTATAGTCTAATCTCTCTTCCTCATACTATCCTCACATTTTTGCTTGTACTCGCAATACTTGAAATAAGGGTTATCTTGAACAAACAACACATGTCTCTATTCTCGAATTTCATGAGTTTATTATAGATTGTTTTGATATATATTTTAACAATCAAACAAAATGTTGTTCATTTGTACTTCGAAATCATAAAGATCACGTTGCAAACAATGTTCCATCTTCTCTCTCTTTTATTTCTTGGATACATCGGCTTGGATTTTTTTTCCTTGTACTTTTATTATTTATTTTCAACAACCATACAGGTGAGAATTTTATTGATAAATATGAACAAAATACAAAAAGTGGAACTAGGCCAAGACCTCCCATAAAGAATCAACAACCAAAAGGTGACACCAAACCTACTTGAAAGCTATTAGGGACCAATCCAGCATAATTGAAACGTTTGAGTGCTAAAAAAAACGACAAAAGTCAAATGTCTTGAAGCGCCAAGAGTAGAAAAGCAAATTAAACAACACTACAAGCGTACTTAACTAACGTCCTCTTGATTTAATTTTAACTAGTAGTCGCCATTTGATGTTTTGGTTTTCGTTTTGCATTGAGTTTTAAAATCACGATGATGTGGTTGAATAAAGATGAAGTCAATAACAAAATCCTTTTTCTAAGGAGCAACGATAAGAATTGATTTTGGTATGACAGTTCTAAATGATTTATGGTGGATTGCATTTTTTTTATGAGGAAATTACACCAAATCCTATTTTTAAAGATCACATTTCAAAAAATAGGTGTAAAGTTTATTCAATCAAAAATTAGGTAATATTCAATTAATAATAATATTACAAAATCAAATTAATTCAGATACTCCATCCTACCCCCTTCCATCCTCACCAAATTTCTCAAACACTAATCACTTCCCCATTCTAATTCTCTCTCTATACACTTTCCACACTAATCAATTCCTCACTCTATTCTCTCTTTATACACTTTCCACTCTCTATAGTCTCTCTATCACACAATACTGTTGGAGCACCGCCGTCCAATGGGCTCACAACCATCAACGTAGCATTACAACCATCGAGAAATGGCACCATGAACGCCACGACACGATGAAGCTCTGCATGGGCTTTGCTTATAGCACTGTTGCATGCAAATCCTCAACGCGCAGCGGCGCTGTGTAGAGAAACAGCTTGCTACTCTAGATTGGGGTGGGATGGGGTACTGTTATGAGCTGGTGTGCAGAGAAACGATGTATAGCTCTACGCGCTGCCCTGGGCTACGACAATCACCACCGAGTACCTGCTGCAACAACAGTGTGCTGCCCTGATTTTGGATTTGGTTTTGTAGTGATTTTATCGATGGTGTTTGCAGTTGGTAATGGTGGAGGTGACGGCAACGGTGTCTGTGAGTTGGTAGTGATTGTGGTGACTTATTATATAATTAGTATGTGAATGGTTGGTGGTGGAGCTGGTTGTTTGTGGCTGAAGATCTGATAATGGTGTTTGTGGTGATTTTTGTTGGTAGTGGATTGGATCTAGTGGTGACGGCTTTTGTTGTTTATGGTGTTGGTACTATTGTGGTGGTGGCAGTGGCAAAAGGTGAGAATCGTCGCAAGTGGCCGTAGTGGCAATGATAGTGGTATATATATGATCCATTATTAGGTGTATGTGACCAATTATTTCGTTATCTGTGACCAACTATTCAATTGTGATCTAAAAATTTGATAATATATAATTGA